GTATGGTGAACAACAACAAGAAGGACCGATACCTCTCAACTTACTACCCACACGCAAGCGACCCTATCCTGGTGAAGTTGTTGAGATGATGGTTGGTGGGGATACTAGGTGATAAGTAGTCATAAGGTACTAGTCATAGTATTAGAGCAGCAGTAGCAGGTACTCACCACCAATGCCTCCACCATTCATGCCACCACCACTAACAGCAGATGCCGATCCTGGTCCACCTACTAGGGGACCTGATGGATACTCTTGGAAGGTGGTCATACCAACATATTATTACTTTACATTCTTTATGGTATAGCTCAATATAGAAGTGTTGATTAGTTTGGTATTGCCAAATCGACGTCTTGGTGCTTGTCGATGCTGCCCTAGTAGTAGTGGGATGTGGTGATCTTGTTCAGGACTTGGTGTTCGAGACGATCGACCCTGTAGTACCTAGTTTGGCAGTGAATCTACCCGTACCTCTCGATAGAGCTGGTCTAGTAGTAGGAGTACGAGGCAATACTGTTAGGGTAGGATATATACATGAGTAGTAGTAATACCACTCCTTTCGATATTCAGAGTCTAGAATCCCAATGTGGGGTTGAGATAAGTGTTGCTGTTCGTGATGATGATCCTCTGAGAGATCCATCAACTAATACCACCCATGTTCATGTTAGAGGGCCAAAGTATGGTGTATATGAAGCTATGCAGAGGATTGGGTAGTAGTAATATGGTAGTAATATCCGTTCGAGTAGTACCTCATGTAGGGACCTATTCCGATACCGTCATCCTCTACCAGAGATGCAAGGAGGATGCCTTCCTCCTCCTACTCCACTACCCCCTCCTCCAGCTAACGTCCCTTCAGAGCTGCTACCACCTCCCTTACCACAATCGATGATGAATCACCATAGTGCATATGAGGCCAACCCAGAATCCTTGTCCAATGTGGATAAGCCTAACTTGGTACTCATTGCTACTACTGCTGCTATTTCGGGTAATTTTGGTATGGTGCGGTGACGTTTAGGTATCTTTTGATATATTGGATGATCATTGTGGTTTGGTGATCGGCAGACGAGGTCGGATGCTTGCCGATTTACGTGAGGAATCCGGTGCTTCTATCGAGCTAGTATCTGTAGATGATAGACCAGCTCAACCTAAGTAATCATATCTACGCATGGAATAATAGTACTACACCTTTGTGATGATCAGGAAATGTCTGGTATGGTCACCCTCAGTAGATAGGGTTGATGATGCATTAGTACGACTTGCTCGAGTACTCTCTAGGTTACCAGATGCCTTACCAGTACCACCACCTAAGAATCCAGAAGCAGAAGATAGGGTACTTGGATCCTGTATTGATAATAAGGTTCACTATCACTCACTTAGCATTGAACCCACGTTGGGTAGAAGAAGATTATCGAATGGGTGCTCCACCTCTACCATCGTCGTCCCCTTCCTCGGGGTAGCGATAGGCTATTGTAATTAGACATTCTCTTCTTGTTAGCTTACCTCGTGTAGAGGTCAGTGG